GGTCACTGTCTGTGTGGTCACTGTCTGTGCTGTGGTCACTGTCCGTCACTTGTCCACCTGTGCTGAAAGGCGAAGGGGAGTCTGGTGACATTTAGTTTGTAGTTTGTTCTACATGCCTGCAGACTGGTTATCTTGTCTGGTTCCTGGTGCTTCTGATTACTAATGGGTTAAACAGGCGTGAGCTTACATCCGTTTCCAATTGTTCTCCTCTTATCGGCTGAATGATTCTACTGTTTGAAAGAGATGGCAACTCAGTGCCAGTGCTGCGTAGTTCGGAGGAAAACAAGCAGGATTATTTCTCTGCATCGTCTGTACTGGCATGCTCTGTGCTGAACAGAAATCGATACTGTGAGGAAGGGTACTTTGTGCGGCTCAGTGCTGTGATTCTTGCTCACAAAAGCCAAGTGTAAGAGGTTTCCCAAGAGTCTTTTTCTGCAGTATGTCCTAGTTGGCTCAGGAGAGCTCATCCTCAGAGACACCCCTGCCTCAGCCAGCCAGGAACACCCCTGGAAGAGGTTCGCGGGCTCGTCCAGTTAGTCACGCGTGACTTCATGCTGCTCTGCAGCCTCGGGGAAAAACCCGCTCACGCTTAGAACAGCTGTGGAGAGCGCACCCAGGCACAGACAGGAGCCCTCGAGAACAGCCGGAGCTTCAGACGCCACAACGGACTCAAAGATGTCCTGTTGTGGCTTCCTCATTAGACTCACTCTGCATAAAAACATCTACAGTATACAGTAGGTGTACCTGTCCTCCAGGACTGTGCAGTCTGGCATTAATCCCATCTCTCTGAGCGGCGACGCATCCCAGCATCACACATCAGCGCACAGTAACACTACACCGCTTGTACTGTCCTGCGTCTCCGGGTAACTCTCACACAGGTGTGTAGAATTACTGAGAAAAAGATGAAAAGGCAGTGTATCTGGGAACTTCTGGGAGTGTTCCACTAATGTAAGTTTTCAAAACTGATTTTGAGAAATTCCTTTCTTGAATTCTCAAAGCTAACTCCTACCCTCTGTGGTGAGCAAAGACTTATTTAGGGACGACCTTTTGTGCTAATTCCATTCTCTCCCACGTTAAGATGCGCTCAGAGACAGTGGAAAGACCCCAACTAAGCTCTGGGACAGAGGAAAACTTTTGCATCTTATTTTTCAAGCACAGCACTGCAAATGCACAGGCAGAAGCCCTGATCTGACCCCTCAGGGCAGTCCGGTACTGAGGGAGCTTGTGTGAACCCCTCACCGTCAGGGTGTCCAGTCCTGGTCGTGGAGGGCAGGTGTGTCTTTGGGTCTTTATCCCAGTTCAGCTGTTAGTGAGTTGAATCAGCCAGACAAACTGGACCAAAATAAGATTCTCCCAGCTCTTCAGTGCTTCTTCACATTTAGAACATTTTGTACAATTCTTGTCACCACATTGTAGAAAATGTGTTGCTGCTCTAAATGAGTCCAGACAAGAGCAGATACATTCCAGGACTTGCGATGACAGGGTGAAGGAACAGCACCTTTGTAGTCTTGAACGGAAACTACGAGGGGAGCTGATACAAGTATTCACAACCCTCAGACACGGACAAGGTGTCTTCGGAGCGAGCAGTGGAACATGAACCCGAGGACACCAGTGCGAGCTGTATGAAAGTGCACTTAAAACTGAGACCAGGAGGCACTTCTTTATGGAAAGGGTTGCAATAGTATGGAACAATATACCATACATGTGGCTGAAGTCAATATCCTGGCTTTTTCCAGGAAATGGCTAGATGAGATGAGATTATCAAACCAATTAGAAACTCACTACCACGTGGCTAGATGGGCCAAAGGAATGTCCCTCCTTTGTCACCTTTCTAACGTTCTTATGCTGCTTTAAGGAGACCTTGACAACCTGAAGACACACCTGCCCTCCAAGAAACAGTGTTCTGACAAACCTCAGAGAAGCAAAATGTATAAAGAGCTTGGAGGTTTCTGAAAATATTGCAAATATCAGCGGTCATGTGTAGGCAAAGGTCCAAACGGGACAGGCTTTGATTCCGGTGCTGTGCAATGTCAAAGTTTACTTTCCATTTCTTCTGTTTTCCATTACACAAAGGCAAAGACCAAGGCTGATTTAAAAGCTGAGGTCCTGTGGCTCAGCTGCAGTGTTTATATTCAATGCATTCCAGAGCAGTGTGCAGAGTCTGCAGCCTGGATAGCTACCTGGTGAAGTGGTCAACCTCAAAGCACAATCAGACTGCCAGCACTCTGTGACCCACTGTGGTATTGAAGGCATTAGCCTGACTGGAGACCTAATCGAATGTATTAGAGCTGGAGAACATTAACGCTAGCTGACAAGCTGATATACAGCTCACATTTATCTCCTTCCCATACAGCCTTTTAAACACAGGGCTTCAGTGGTGAGGTCTTCTGGTTCTGGGTGCATTAGAAGAGGCTACTATCTGTTGCGTCTGTCTTTCTGAGCGAGTGCTGTACAGGAGTCTGGAGTCGGCTGTCTGTCAGATCCACACCCTTGTCAACTCTGAAGGCAGCCATGTTCTGCACCCCAAATGCGCCCTGCAACATCTGAATCTGAGAACAGGTTTTGTTCAAAAGATAAAAGGTTTTGAAGTAAATTTTCCTGAAATAATATTCCCAAAGGACAAAACAGAGTGATTTATAAAGATTCCAAGGCCAGACAAACAAAAGTGTCATTAATCTGAAAAATCACACGGGAATACTCAACCCTCCCTAATACTTCCCAGTCCAGAGTCCACACTGGTTCAAATACCGTTATCAGGAACATGAGTCATTTAGCAAGATTCGCATGACCTATTGAATTTTAATCTCTTGATAACTACTTTTGTAACAAAGAAAATATAGAGGCTTTCTACCTGCAAGGCATTATACAGTAAAGTTGTCTGTTAGCGCTATGGACGGCAGGGCTGAAACCGAGAGCAAGCAGTCCTGCAGCGAGTGATGTGACACGGAGGAGCTGTGGTCAGTCCTCCGCAGCCCGAGAAGCTGGTGATGCTGAGGGACGGACTCTGTGGCCACTGACTGCGCAAAGAAACACAGATTCCTGCCGGGGTCACAGCACCGTGCAAAACGACACCCTGCTGTCCGCTACGGAGTTCCCGAAGTGGAATTCAAACTAATAGAGAAGCAAACCAGCTCCATGTCAACTGCTTCTGATTAACATGGCCTGAAGGCGGGTGATTTAGATCACGCCCGCTTTGTTTCTTTCATTCTAATCCCTTTCGCAAAGCGACCAATCTTGTCTCAGACTTGGCAAATGATTTATCAAGAGTTGGTATAGAAAAGGCTGAAAAATCAATTCTGCCACTTAAGTCTCATTTGAACTCTGGGTGGCAGAAGGCTGGTGTTGTTGAACAGGCAATGACTACATGTCAGTAGATGAAATTCAACCGTCCAGTGAATGTGGAGGCTTTGCTGTAATGAGAGCAGACAACAGGCCTTTCTACTGAAGACAGAGCCACTACATGCGAAAGACTGATCACAGCTCTGTAGGCGGTGGCCTCAAGCTCAGCTTTCCAGCAACATTCCCAGCTTCTCCTCCAGTCCAGGCAGCTCTCAGCAGCACTCAGGGGGTGTCCAGGTGTGAAAGTGCGTCAATGCCAGCTGTGCAGAACTGGCAAGCTAGTCAAGGGAGCCCAGGAGGTGTCACACTTACAGGCTAAGGGGAGAGAATAAAGACGAGTCTGAGACACGACAACAGAGTCGCACTCCTGCGGTGCCACTAGTGAGACACGGTATCGGACCTTCGAGGGGAAACAGCAGGCATGCCACACTAACAGGAAAAACAACACCACCCCTCAGACAACAGTGAATCAGACGGACAGATCCGCAGTGTGCACTCTACTACCGTGCAGTGTACTGTATGTCCAGTGCATCTCAGAGCTGCAAGTCATGGAAAGACAAGGAAGGAATGTAAGAGGGAATTCTGGGAAAGGGCCAATGTTTTCATGCACATCTTACTCACTGTTATAACAAGGAACAGCTATGCTGTTGCCAGGTCAACTTTTTGACTCTAGAGATCAAATAAAAATAAACTATTGTATTTTTCATGGGAAAAAAGGGCTTTTACATAAAGTAATAGTTTAGTGCATACTGCGGTAAATTATTGATCCATCTGGATTTAGAAGGTCAGTGTCCTACAGGTGATCTTACAAAACATCGAACACCTTATCAAACTCTTAGGGCACCTAAGGAAGCAACAGCTGCTGCTCCTCCCTGCTGCCTGCGTCTGGGTCTCTCTGGTCCGTCTCGCTGCTCTGCAGAGTCAGGCTCAAGCCAGGCTGGCCAGCGGCACGCTTCCTGCTGGACGGGTTTTCCACCCGGCCGCTCAGGTTCTCTCTCTTCCACGGACGCAATCATGGGTTTCCAAGGGTAGAAATGAATTAATCACTTTCCTTCAGTCTGAAAGGTTTGAGGGATCATTTAGGCAAAGTTTCATGACCACATCCTGACACAGTACAGTGATGTGGTGGGCTGTGCTTTCCTCTCTGTGGCCAGAGGTGTGTGTGAAGCTCCAGCCTGCCCC